GTCGACGAGTCGCCACAGGCCTTCGTCGTAGGTGTACAAGAGCCCTTTCTTCAACTTCATCTTTTGCTGTGCCAACCACAGCGGATCGTATGCTTCTCCCAAGGCCACAAGTGGTGCCGACGTACTGCTAGCCGCTGGAGAGCTCTTTGCCGCTGGCGGAGCTGAGGCTGCAAAGTCAGCTTCGAACTCCCAGTAGATGGCAGCCAAGGAGCCATAAGTCTTGCCTTCACGGCCCATTTTCCTTAGATTTGCAGTGACACCAGTATGTGTCAATATCTGTGTTTCTGTTTGGGTTCAAGGCAACATGCCTCATAAAGACAAAGGCCACAACTTCATACAATGGAAGCCTATACCGAGTATCTCTTTGTCCACGACATGCAAGCAGATGCGAAGGCAAAGGATACCGAAGTTCTTCGCACTGCTGGGCAACGAAGCTTCGATGCGGTTCCAGGCCTTGTAGAGGAGCTCTTCGGCTTCAAGACCCAAGCTTTGCAGCTTCTTGTTCTTGAGCTTCTCGACGTCACTTTTGAGCAGGAGGCGAGCATATCCGTTGCTCACCCTGTGGCTGGTGAAGTTCGTTGCCAAGAAGGCCAACCGAAGGCACGGATACTGTTCGGGCAAGTTCATGACAAGGCTTGTCCAAAAGTCTTCGCCCAAGTTCACATTCTGGCCGAATTGCTTCGAGAACGGCACGAGGAACTTGAGGAAGGCTGCCTGGTTGGAGAACTGGGTCACCCAAGTTGCCAAGTGCTTGGCATAGTGGTGAAGCGGTCCACCCTGGGTTGCTTCTGCAGCCACATCCTGCAAGTTGGTCGTCTCACATTTGCTGCGATCAACCAAGTACAAGCAAAGCTCAAGCTCGTTGGGCCCCGAGAATGTACTGTTGCTCGCATTCAGTGCACGTTCGGCCAATTTCGGCAACTGTGGCCATTGTTTTTCAACCGAGTTCGCGACCACAGTCCATGTCCACCCAACTTGCAGTAGCTTCTTGAACTCGGCATCCTCGCACAGAGCCTGCACGTTCAGCTTTCCTGTGGAGTCAGCCAGTGTGGCTTCGGAAGTCCTGCATCCGTGGGCTGCAGCCTTGACAAACTGGCTTGTGTGCCCAGCAGAAACAGACAGGTGCCGCTCATGCTGGCCCACGGCTCCAAGCAAGCCCGCACTCTGGGACACTATCTCTTGGTTGAAAGAGAACTGTGCTTGGCGAACTGCTGGGTCATCAGAGACTTCGAAGCAGAAGCTGCTGTGCAGGAAGGATGCATCCCATCCTGTCTTCATAAGAGATGCAGCCTTAGCATGGCAAGCGTGTGGGTTCACACCCATTCCGCCCCTGTTTGCTGGATGGACCAGCAAGGAATCTGCCCTTAGGACTGCAGTCCAAGCGAGCTTGCTCTGCTTCAAAACTTGCACGATGCTGTTCCACATCGACAAGGGAGGGCTGCTTTTCTGCAGCTCGGCTTCAACAGCCGCTACAACGTCGACCGGCAGCGACATGGTCTGCAGGCAAAGCCTTCTG